TTTTTCCTCTCAGTTAAATAAATTATTTTAATGAGAAATATTGTTCTTAACTGCTAAATAAGGTTTCTGTCAGCATTATAAGATAGTGTAACTATGCTTTATAGTTTTTTTGTAGTTTGGACACTAAGGTGACATTTATTATATTTACTGACTTTGATTCAAACAGATTTGCTTCCCATCCTCATCATCCAAAAGTTGTTTCATGCTGCAAATGAAACTCGTAACAGAAAACAAAGACTTGTTGTGAAAGAGTAAAACTGAGAAATTCTTCAGTTCAAATGAAGAAGAAGTTAAACTTCACTGTTTGAGCTGCAAATTTAACACAGTTGTTTTGAACATATTTATCTCCACCTACAGGTACAGGTGAGCTAAATAAAAAGCTTTCCAACATCATGGATGACAAAATAAAATAATTCATGAGATAAAAGTTGCTCTTCTCGTTGGAAAATTAAACATTTTTCACTTGAATTAACAGGAAACAAGCACTTCTTCAAGTTATTGAAGGAAAAATAGGGAGAAAACACGAATAAGCTGCTAATTATGCTGCAAAATTGCAAATTGTTAAACTTGACTGTTTGAGCTACAAATCTTTCACATTAATTTTCTCATATTGAAAATATTCAGCCCAACCGACAGGAACAGGAAAGCTAAAGGCTTCTTCAGGTTACAGAAAGAGAAATAGGGATGAAACACAAATAAGCTGCTGATAATGCTGCAGACTCTAAAGTATCAAAAATAAAGCACGACATGAGCTGTGTTTCCATTCCTTTGCAAAAATACCGGTATACGGATATTTTTGTGTAATAAGCATGCTGATGGCTGATTACACATTTGTTTATGTTTGGTAAACAAATGAAAGATGAACAAATAGGTGTTAAATAACTATAAATAAATCAATAATTAGCTACTTGTGTTTGTGTTTTTAAGTTACTACTGCCAAAATAAAATAAGCTCACTACGCATGCTCATGATGTTCTTCTCTGGTATTTGACGCATCGTTAACTCTATCGCCACCTGAACCGGTTTGCTTGTTTGTTTGGATGTGTGGATGGAGATATTTTGGAAAACGAAAGTCAAGTGGACAGAATAATCTGTCCTTTCTTTTCTTTATAGCTCTACTTAATAGAACCAACAGCAAGTTTAAACCCAAATTAAATAGAGTTTAATCGATATGTAGATGCTTGCTCACCCAAATGAATTAATATTTACATGAGCAAGCATCTACATATCGATTAAACTCCATTTAATTTGGGTTTAAACTTGGTTTTACTAATCAGATTTAGTTTTTAATTGTGCGACAGAGCTCTGCTTAATCTAAAATCTGTATTTATGTATTTCAAACCCAGTTTTGCTAAACTCTGATTATAACTAATCTTAGATTAAATGAATCCTTGTTGGTGCCACCCAGGCAAACTGTGACTGGATCAACATTCAGTATTGCCAACAGAAAAAGAAGAGACTAAAATGTATCTTCACCAAAAATGTCTCTTTATTGTTCTCTACAAAACAGAAGAGACAAAATATCGAAGATTGTTTTTTTTGTTTCCCGTTCCGCACGCGACAGCTTGGGAGAAAGACATTGTGATATTTTGGCTTCACCGATAAGCTCAACTAGATAAAATATAGAAACACTGAAACAGTTTTCATGACTACAACTATGTGAAAATGTTTAGTTTTCTTTGCCTAAGACGCCCAGAAAATGGCTTTTAGTCAATTAAAACGTGATGAAACAAGGACGAGGTTGACTACAAGGATAACAGTTATACTCCCAAGTGGACACATAGTATTTCTGTTTATGCTAGTTTCTGGAGTCCGCACGGTTACAATAAATTATACGCAGACTTCCAAACTACTCTCCAGATACTCCTCAGATATAAATACATAATCTAAAGAATCATCTAAGCAGTCTTAAGTTTTCTCCCTCTGAGCTCACCGCCTCCTCCTCCCAACACTTCCTGTCCGTACCGGGCGGCCATCACTCCACCCGGAGGTGTCACGGTGGGATCCCGGCAGATTTTATCTATTAAGGGGAGGTTCATGATTCATGGGAGGCGGAGGCAGCTCAAGGAAAACCAATCCTGTGACACTTTCTCCCCTGTGCTGTACACCGGCAGCAGCTACAGAAGGACGAGGCGAGCCCCCTGACAGCCGTGATAAAACGGCCTTCCTTAACTAAACTCATAAAGCACGCGGCAATAAAACTCAATCTTCTGTAAAATCCAATTAAGTCATTATCTGACTGATTGTATCTTTAATTGAAAACAGAAGTGACAGTAAATTTCTGTGATATATCAGGATCAATCGATACTGCCGTACAATCTGGTCTCAAGCGGTGATTTATAATGTCAAAGCCTTATAGGTAACTCCACATTCCTCTCTCTAAAACCACTGGTGGATGAAATTAAGAGTAAGTGCGTTTCATAAAAAAACAAGATGGTCACGTTATTGATTACAACAGATGGGGCAGAATCCAATGAATGTTCCCACAGCGCAGCAGAAAGAAAATACAAGTAATTTTCTTTTGTCTGTTTTATATTGTTGTTTCCAGCATCACATTTACACTCCATCACTTCAGAGCGGCTTTATTCGCCTAAAACTTGTAGCGACATAAACTCCAGGACTCCAAATTACTTTTGTTGCTGTCTTATTCAAACACAAACACAAATAAACACTTTCTAAGCATGCAGCTGGAGATAAAACACAAAAAACACATCAACAGCGTGTACGCGGTGCAGGTCGGCTTCACAGAGGCAGCAGAGTGGTTTTCTTTTTAATTAACACTGAAACAACATGACTCAGAAGTGGGCAACACAACGTTACTTTCATTAGTTCATGAAGTAAAAAACTGCTTTGTACGGGGGTAGTTAATTGCACAAAAAACACTGTGACCAGGTATTTTATCTGTTAAAAAAACACAACAATTATCGTTTTTTATCATCAATTAATCTGCTGATCCCTTTTTTATTTTTATTGATTAGTTATTTGGTCAATGAAGCTTTAGAAAAACAACAAAAAATGGCAATTACCCAGATCCCAAGGTGACAAAAAACAAAGATATTCAATTTACTTTCATTTAAGATCGAAAAAGTCTTCAAATCCAAACATTTCAGAAGCTAAAACCTTAAAATGTTCCGCATTTCTGCTTGAAAAATGTCTAAAATGATTAAGATATTATGAAAATGGTTGCTTTTTTTCTGGATCAATTAATCACCTAATTGTTTCAGCTCTACACATCACTGCTCCAGCTCCTCGGCCTCCCGCTGCGTCTACACGGCCGTACCGAAGCGTGTCAACAGTAACCCGTGTGCATAGTGAAAACCTCCGGCCTGAACGGGTCAAATATACAATAGACATGCAAATTATGTGGCATAAACAACGCCGCTGGATGTGTGCCATAAATAAGCAGCCGGTGCTCATCACACGCAGCGGAGGGAGAAGTGATTCATGGCTAACCTGCCGGGTTTCTACCTGCAGGAGGACGTCCTCGTGTCAAAGGATCTGACTGTTGTTCATACTGGATATTCCAGAGATGCAGGTCAAAAGATATCGAGGCATAAATCTGGGCAAAAAGTTTTCAACAGAGCTTTATCGATAAAAAAAATCCAGGCTGATGTTTCAACAGATGGATATTCATTTTGGTGAATACGAGAAATCGCTTCACAGAAATACCAAAGAGATGTTTGAGGTAATAAAGAAACGTCTCCATTAGGTTTTTAACGTCTAATAAACTATCTTGCCTTGGTCACAAGTTTTTAAAAACTAATTTAAGGAATCCTAATCAAAAATGATGTGTCTATGAAAAAAAATATACATCGTATGTAAAATTATAAGTTTTAAACTCTAAAATATCAATATTTCAGCCTCTAAAGCCTCTATCTGTTGCAATATTTACATATTTAAAGAGAAGTTATAGTGTTTTGTAACACAGTATATTTATCTAAATTCTGTTGAAACAACTATTCTATGTAACTAAAGTCTCTATTTTGCTGACCTGCAGTGGTTTAACTTCTCAGCTTGCTGCGGTGATGTAGAGATGTACTCCGGGTGTGTTGGTACACCGTGACATCACTGTTGGGTGTGGCTACACAGGTGAAACGCACTTGAAACTTTTAATCATGGAGGGCGGCTAAACGCTGCTTTTCAGTGTTAAGTTTCTGTTCAACCTCGACATCTTTTGACCTGCAAATCACCAAATCAGTGTTTACTGGAAAGAACGGATTCAACGAATCCATAAAACTCATACTACTGGTTCCATAAAACTCATACTACTGGTTCCATAAAACTCATACTACTGGTTCCATAAAACTCATACTACTGGTTCCATAAAACTCATACTACTGGTTCCATAAAACTCATTAAAAACCTCACATATCAAACTCATAAAAAAGAACAATAACTTACAATACATGTATTGCTTCATGTATTGCATGTGAACTGACGGGAGAATTACATGAAACTACGGCACGCACTCGCTCCATTTCGCCTTCGTCATTTTCTAAATAAGTGCTCGAGATGTAACAGTGATTCCAGTTTTTCAGCTCAAAAAATATATCTTAGCGAACACTAAGCCTGTTTTCTGATTGTACGAAGATCCTCCACTAATATCTAATGAAACACACGGTGTGAAAACTGCACCGGTCAACATCACGGCGCGCTAGACAGATTTTAATATCATTATTCTGCATGTTGTGTCACTTCGTCGTTTTGGATAAAAAAAACAACAACACTTAACTCTGCCGTAACAGCTGCTTTCTAAAGAGAAAAAACAAGTGTACAACTTTACAAATACACAACAAGTCACCGTCTAGTTTGAATGATTTGGTCCAATCTTGATAACTAATAATCAAGAAGACGTATTTATGGTATTTTTAGTCATCTTTAAATTCTGGAAAGTGCTTCTCAAGTACGTGCAAGTTGGTATTTGTGAACTTGCACATGTATTTTCTTTAAGTATCTTTCTGAGACCTTTGTATGCTGCTGAACTGGCCTCAACAAAAATATTTAACAGCTAAAAATGAACTAAAAATAGGAAAACAACCTGGACAACCATAGACGATATCGTGCCTCCGGGACAGAAACAGAGAAACCTTTCAGCAACACTGAACCATGAAATGCTTTCGCAAGAACATCCAAGTTTACGCATGATATCGTCCTTAGCTTTGCTTATTTGGTGGCGTCACCATCGATGATGGAGCCCACGGAGAAGTTTGGCGTCTCGCCGCCGGCGTCACACTCGTTGACATTCGAGTTAACCATGAGGGACCTGCAGGTCATGGAGGAGTCGTGACCTGTGGTGGTGCTGCTGGGTGAGAAGGCTGCAGGGACGAGACAGACAAAATAGTTCTGATCAGAGATCAATTGGACTATTTAAACTTAAATCATATGTTTATGTGAAATGTTAAAATTAAGCCAGTTTTCTCCCAAATTTAAATGTTCACGCACAATGAAACTACTTTAGTCTCTTTACTCTTTGATAGATCAGGATCCACTGGCTATGTTTGACTTTTAAATTCGGAGTAACTTGTAGTTGTCACATGTCCGTCGTATCCCATAAAACCCTCACGCTGGTGCTGGTATTGACAGGACTGTATTAGACACCAGTAAGAGTGAACTGGTGAAGCCCATCAGATACAGGAGGACTCAGGAAGTCTCCCATACGAGAGCAACATTTACATCACAAACTGAGACATTATGAAATATCTTTGGGTAAAATACCACCACTAGGGTAATATCTACTTCTTGATGATGGAAAACACTAACTACGGTAAAGTATTTATACGTATTCATAAAGTAAATAAACCTCAAAACTCTCATTTCCCTTTCAGGTATTGAGCAACAAATCTTATTTTCTTGGATACTCCTCAAAGTCATTAATATGATAAATTCATATTGCCTCAGGAGGCGCAGCAGCACACATCAAATAAAAGATGTCTTTGTACTGTAAGGCGAGTAAATAAAGATGGAGAAGAGAAATACTATAGTGAGACAGAGAAGAGTCGTATCATCAGCAGAACGAACACTCCTCTCTGTCCTCACCTGATATAAATATGACCGCACTGTTAAATGATTCTTCACGATTTATAGCAAATTGAATCAGTCAGCAAAAAAGGGAAGACACTGAGCACAGAGCAAAAAGATCTTTTCACAGTCAACACTGTGTGCACCCAAACGTTTTAACACTCGTCTACAGCCACCGCACACACTAACATAACACCGTGAGGACAACAGGCTGGTTGTACAGGCATTCAAATGTTACGTTTAACAACTACTGCGGACCTTCATCGCGTTTTTAATGAGTTTGTTTTAACCGAACTAAACATGTTCGGTGTGGAAGCTCCCAGAGAAACTAACTGAGAACTTCTGACCAATAGAAAAATAGTAGAGCTGCAACTAGCGATCAAAGATCAAACAATAAAGGCAGGAAGTCGTGATAAATACCCGTATTGTTAACATCTTGTCTCACGTTTGAGGAGCTGGAGCTAATTATTGTTTGTTTGTTTGTTTGAAAAATGCTAATTGATGTCAATTATTGTGGATTGATTGTCAATGAATCAACTAATCTCTTCAGCTTTATTTCCTCCTATTTATGAAATGCTATGCGCAACACAATAAATTGTTTAATCCATCAAGTATTTTTCAAAGAAAGGTTTTATTATTTATGTAATATTTGACCTTTTTCTCTGAGATTCTGTATAATACCAAAACAATATTTGACTGATTCCTTACATTGAGGAATAAAAGCTTATTTTTATGACAAATGCTAATTTAATTCAACAAAAGAAACAAAAATGTTAAATACTGTCTGAACACAAGCAGCCGTACAAGAACGTTGCCTTAATTAAATACAATACTATGATTACTATGATTACTATTATGCTAATGAATTATTTAAATCAGTAATTATCTGATCAATGAATAAGAAAACGATAATATACAAACACATTTGATGCTAGATTTCAATACTTTGCTAAAAACAAATTGTGGCCATGACCAAAAAAGCGTTAAGGAAGCAACTTTTTAAATAATAATGATTTCAGCTTTTAAATTTAAATATTTGCTTGTTTTTTTCTGTTTCATATCATTTTAAATGAATCCTTTTGGGGTTTGGACTGTTGGTCAACAGACCAAGACATATTTTTTCACCGTCTAACATTTAATAAACGACATGATTAATCAATGACTCAAGAAAATGAGTCATTGATGATTGCATCTTGAAAACAATCATTAGTTGCAGCCCTGATCATTAGAGAGTTAAATAGTTCTCAAAAGGAGAGCTGACCAATGAGAGAAATGTAGTAGATAGATAAGTAAATTGTGTTTTAAGGTGTATTATCTCACAAAAAACATTAAAACAATGTATATTCTATTGCTTTCTAGAGATATTTGAGTATTAACATTGTCAAATGATAACCAAAAATCAGTCAAAGCATAAAATATCGAAATGTATCTGCAGACCTTCACAAATACATGTTTACTCAGAATAACCTCCTGATGAAGACAACATTAACAAAAGCTGACGTCCAGTGTTTCCCAGAATCCTCTTGACTCCTTGATTCGCCTCCTCATCCCTCATCCCTCACCCTCCACCATCTCTCCCTCTCTCTCCTCCCCAGCAGTGGTGGGAGGGGGACAAAAAGAGGAGTCATTTTTCTCCCCATTAACTTCCTGATTGGTTTCGGACTCCAATTCCTGCCCGTCTGCAGTTTGTCACCAATTCCAAACTGGCAGCCCAATCGTTAATACTAATGTTTGTGTAGCTAAGTGCGGCCGGCTCTCGGCGGTCCACTTGTACAGCAATAACAGCATGTGGGTGGAGAGGAGAGCAGCAGCTGTGAATTAGCCCCGTTCACTGTTAATTCTCTGTTCATCAGCAGGAAATCTATGATGTGTAATTAAAGGCTGGAAGCAACTGGACGCGTTAGTCTCACTGGAGATGTTAAATCACGACCCACCGCTGGAACACATGTTCTCCTCTGCCTCCGACCGCCCTCTGCTCTCCTGTCTAGTACAGATTAATGTTGCTGAAACACCAAAAAGACGGCAAGCACCTGTTGTTGACCCTATGGCTGCAGCTAATTAGACAATTAACAAGTTACTTTTATTGTCAATTACATGTTGTATTATATCTTTGATTTATCACGATTTTATCAAGATAACATGTCAGAAAACAGATTTCTCAGATCTTTAAGTGAGGCTTTGAAATTGCTTGTTTGGTCCAAAAAATATTCAATTTACAATTATAAAAGTGAAGAAAAGCAGCCACATGATTGCCATCTTTTAAGTGAAGGCAAACAGTTGCATATGTACACGTCCAGCAGTTACGGAGAAACATCATTTATAGGCGCCATGTTTCAGGTCACCCGATGAATGTAAAGTAAAATTTGTATTCATACTTTTGGCTATCCTCTCTTTTCTTTGAATGTCAGTGAATATTGATCTCTTTAGGTTATTTGGAAGAAACCATCTGAACAGTTTAGAGGGGAAAAGTCCCGACAACAACTTTAATCTTTAACGAAATGTATTCTATAAGCTGATCATATGTTTTATTTAATGTGTAAAATTTAAAAAAGGCAATAAACTAGTTTTTGTCTCTAATTTGTCATTATGAAGTAAATTTAAATTGCACAATGTGGTTCCCTTTAAGCGTCACTTTCACTCTGTGGTTCTGTCTTCCAATGGGTGCGATGAAGGCTTCATTTACGACACTGAGGAAGTGCGTCAACCATTGCTTAATGGTAGCTATCCGCAGTTACCGAAGAGCATCAATGGAAGTTCTTTGCTGTCAACAGGAAATGACTTACGCTGGAACAACCAATGTAACTGTAGTAAACAAAATGCAGTGCGTCCTGTGTTGTTGTTGGTTAGTTGCTGTAGCTCTCAGGAAAACGGAAAGTGATCCAGTTGTGTTGCCGACAGCGGCAACAACAATAAATCCTCTTGGAAACACTCGGGGGAGGGAAATATTCAACAATATTTGCCTCTGAAATGTAGTGGGATAGAAGTATAAAGTAGCATACAATGGAAATACTCAAGTAAAGTACAAGTACCTGAATAAAAACACTTCCACCACTGTCAATGACACTTAAAGCCAGAGTGAAGCAGCGATGTCTTTGGTAACAAAACCCTCAGCAGACGAGTCACTTACAGTTTGAAGTTGTTGAGTTTTTGGCACTAACGAGCTGCCACAACCCACATTCTGGAAAGTACAGGCTGAATTAAATGAGTATCTTTGAGTTGACAGCTGTTACAGCAGTGAGTGGTAATAACTGCACTCCTCCACACCATGGAAAGAGAGACGCTGATGTGTAATACAGAGTCTACTGGTTGGTTCAGACTGTGTACAAACAGAAGAAGAAGCTCATAATAAGACAAACTTAACCTGCTGGTGATGTTGAAAGAGAGTTTATTCTGCTGAGTGAACTTTTGCCCTTTTCCCAGTCACTCAGCACTCTATATAAGATTTCCAAACTATTAAACAGTCTTTGTGTGGAATAACAAAAGGAAGCTTTTTTAACCTCCCACTTGTCCTGTTAAGAGAAGGGAGGGAGGGAGGGAAGGAGGGAGTGAATGAAGGTGCAATCATTCTGCTGCTGCCAGAGAGGGGAACAAAAGCCCAGATGTGAGAGCAGAGACGGTAATTCAGTCTGATGCAGCGAGGATAAGCTCTCTCTGTGGGTTTCATACTCTACACTCATCCACCGCACACAAGGGTCATAGGGGTAGATAACACTTAAGTAAACACACACACACACACACACAGGCCTGTATGCACACACACACACACATGCACACACAACTCTGCATTAAACTGTACGTGATGTGAGTTACTGAAGTATCTAGAAGAACATTTAAAAATGAACTTTACTGATGATAATTCTATCTTAATGCAGTTGATGTTGTTGATCATTAACTCAGGCTTTGTTACTTCAATGGCTTCTCTGTTTACTTGTCGAAATTCAACATATTACAATCATTCAGAGTAATGAATATGTAGCCATGATGTATGTTCATTGTCCTGCATCTAACGATTATTTCCATTAATCTGCAGATTATCCTCTCAATTATTCGGTTTATTGTTTAATCTTAAACAGTCTGAAACCAAAAGATATTAAATTTGAAGGAAATAAAACAGAAAGTAAAGTGATTGTCTTACGGTTGTTTGTCTCCAACAGCCACATAGACATATGCTCATGCAAAATGTCATCATTGTATCCTGTTAGACATTTATGTGAAATTGTCATAACTGAATTTGCATATTCATTCTTGAGGTTTTTCCAAAAACGTGTTTTGTGAGGTCACAGTGACCCTTGTGGGT